CTTTTGTACGAAGTATTAAATACATTTCAGTAAGCGTGTTCAATACTTTTTCCCTGGTCATTCCACTTTATTACACAGAACTTAATTTCTGAATTTATTCATTTTGTTTTCTTTGTATGTATGGATTATTTGGGTTCTTACTGACATCTGGTGAAAATTTCATGTCAACAGCACCTTTAGAAAAATGGTGACGTGTTCAATACTTATTTTACCCGCTGTATATATATATATATTCCTTTAAAATATAATTTATTTCTGTGATGCGCAGCTGTATTTTCAGCATCATTACTCCAGTCTTCAGTGTCACATGATCTTCAGAAATCATTCTAATATGCTGATTTATTATTAGAATTATCTAACAGTTGTGCTGCCAAATATTTATTTTGGAAACTGCGATACTTTTTTCAGGATTCAAGTTCCAGTGCTTTTTATTGTCATTCCTCCCTACAGGAAGAAACGAAACACAGTATCTCCGAGAGCATCATAGTACAAAAATAGGAACATATCTAACAATAGCACAATACTAACAACAATGTGTCTGCAAACATTGCAATGAGGTAGATCATAGTGTGCAACAATAAGCAGTTAAATGTTAGTCCTTAGAGTAAAGTTGTGCCATAATAGGCATTAAATAAAATGTGCAATTTCTGAACATTACATAATGTCCAGTATCCATCTCTGGGCCCCCAAGAGACACAGGTACAAGATGAGGGCATTGATCAGCCACAGATGTTATATAACCTGATCGCCTGAGGAAAGAAACTATTTCTCAGTCTTGTAGTTCGTGATCGCACACTTCGGAGTCTTCTTCTAGATGGAAGTAGGCAGAACAGTCTAGCAGAGGGTTGAGCTTTGTCCTTCATAATATTAGTTGTTCTCTTGAGACACCGCACTTTGTAAATGTCCTCTATAGATGGGAGACTAGATGCAGTGATCTTCTGGGCAGCCTTTACTAGCCTCTGTAGCGGCCAAACCAGACTGTGATGTTGTTAGTCAGGATGCTGTCCACTACACATCTGTAGAAGTTAATCATGCCTGCCTAAAGAATCATATCAACTTGTGGAAAATGGGCATCCTATGACCCCTTTAAGTTTTCTCAGAAAGTGTAGTCGTTGTTGGGCTTTCTTCACCAAAAAGGGCGATGTTCTTGTTCCATGAGAAATCGTCTGTTATGTGAACTCCCAAAAACTTGAAGCTTCCAGCTATCTCCACTGCAGCACCATTTATAAGCAGTGGAGGGTGAGTAGTAGAAGACTTCCTGAAGTCAAAGATAATTCCCTTCGTCTTGCTGACATTGAGGGACAGATTATTGGTTTTGCACCAACGCTCCAATACTTTTACCTCCTCTCTGTATGCGGACTCGTTATGCGAGATGAGGCCCACCACTGTTGTATCGTCAGCAAACTTAATGATATGATTGTCCTGCTGGTGTGCGACACAATCATAGGTAAGTAGTGTGAACAGAAGTGGACTGAGGACACATCCCTGAGGTGCTCCGGTGTTCAGAGTGAGAGAATGAGATGTTTTCTCATGCATCCTCACTACTTGGGTTCTATTTGTCAAGAAATCCAGGACCCAGTTACACATTGTGGCATTGAGTGCATGAAGTTTGCTGATGAGGGTCTGTGGCAAGATTGTATTAAATGCGGAAATGAAGTCCACAAAAAGCATCCTGACATACCTGTTCTTGTCTTCCAGATGTGAAAGAGCCAAGTGGATGACATGCGATATGGCATCTGCTGTAGAACGATTTTGTCTGTAAGCAAACTGTAAAGGGTCCAGTGTAGGTGGAATAATTGTCTTGATGTAAGCCATCACCAGCCGTTCGAAGCACTTCATGATAATTGACGGCTGATCGTCCTCCAATTAATTTAGTTTTGTGGATGGAATGCTGTTAAGTTTGTCAAATCGGGCAAAAAAGTTGTTCAGTGCATGCTGCAGCAGGGGATCACTGATAGGAGCGTTATTGTTCTTTCAGGTCCTTCCACATTCGCTGGGGGTCATTTATCTACTTTGTGAGTATGAGATTTTGTCTCTCTTTATTCCTGCAGTCAAGTTGTTCCTTGCTTCCCTCAGTGCTGTTTTATCCCCTGTTCTAAAGACAGCATCACGTGTTTTCAGGAGGGAACGAACCTCTGCCGTACACCACGTTATTTTCATGAGGGAAGCAACGTCATCTACGCATTTGTTAATGTAGCATGTGAGAGATGAGGCTTATTCTTCAATGTCTGCTACACCATCCAATGTTGCAGCCTCCTTGAACACGTACCAATTTGTGCGATCAAAACAGTCCTCCAAAGCTGACATAGCTCCATCAGTCCACCTTCTTGAACATTTGGAAGCAGATTTCACCCGTTTACGAAGTGACTGGTAAGATGGCATTGTAGGAACAGTGACATGCTGATAGAATTTGGGTTGGACCTTCTTAAGATTAGTCTGGTTAAAGTCACCTGCTATCACAAAGAGTCCCTCCGGATGTATTGTGAGTAACCTGCTGACAGTCTCATAAAGTTCATTCAGTAATATATACAATAAGTTTCTGTCTGCACGAAAAGTGGTTAATCCGTCCAGTTGTACAGCTGAGTCGGATTCTTTGATGAATAAAAAGTTCAAAAGTACTGCATTTATTCAAAATATAAATCTTTTCTAACAATATTTGCAAAGTCTTTGCTATCACTTATCAATTTAACACATCCTTGCTGAATAAAAGTTTTAATTTCTTTCAAAAAAAGAAAGAATACAAATTTACTGACCCCAAACTTTTGAACGGTAGTGTATATTGTTAGAAAAGATTTCTATTTTAAATAAATGCTCTTCTTTTAAACTTTTTATTCATCAAAGAATCCTGAAAAAAAGTATCACGGGTTCCAAACAAATATGAAGCAGCAACAGTTTCCAACACTGATAATAAATCAGCATATTCTTATGATTTCTGAAGATCATGTGACACTGAAGACTGGAGTAATGATGCTGAAAATACAGCTGCGCATCACAGAAATACATTACAGTTTAATGTATATTAAAATAGAAAAACGTTATTTTACATCATAATAATATTTCACAATATTACATTTTTTTCCTGTATTTTTGATCAAGTAAATGCAGCCTTGATGAGCAGAAGAAACTCCAGTAAAAAACATTAAAAATCGTTCTGATCCCAAACTTTTGACCGGTAGTGTATTATATATATATAATTATGATGCACTAAAGTATGTTTCCTTGTTACATGGTGTGATTTTTCAGCTGGCCGTCCCCCTCACAGATGAACAGAGACGTGGTCTTCAGACTGAACTGGTTAACCGTCTCGCCCAAGTTCAGAAGCCCTGGTCACTTTAACCCTCAGCGGTTCACCTTCAGCCCGCCGAGCAAACCCTACAGTCGCCTTTAACCAGAGCTTCAGCTCAGAAACACTCAGCAGACATCACTCTCTACAAGTGCTTTTATTACAAGTTAAACTATGTTTTAGCCAATTTTCTATTTTTGCACAGCAATTGTGTTGCTTTTAATAATTGCACTAATTTTCCAGCATGATAATGTTTGTGAATGCAGGAAAAAAAAAAAGCTGAATCTGAAGTGTGATATATATATATATATAATATATAATTATAATGCATTGACGTATGTTTCCTTGTTACATAAAGATTTGTTAAGAAAACAGTTTTGTTGCATTTGGTGTGTTTTCTCAAGAGCTGTGTACATGTAAGTATTGCAGTATTAATCACATGCAACACGTGTTTATTTTACTCTGTACCCGCAGATGGCGCTAGTAAAATCTGTAAACAAAAATACTATAGTAATTTATAGTAAATATACTGTAGTATTTTTGAACCATACTATAGTAAAGTGCATTACACTGTATATATTATAATATTTACAACACTTTGTTAATGAATGCTACAGCATACTGTATAGTGAACTGATAAACTGTAATAAATAGTGTAGTAAACGTTAGTTTTTAATATACATTATTTATATATAGTATAATATACCCTATAGTTGTAGAAAACATAGTACAGTATTGGGTAAAGTCATTTGTTTATATTACTATAGTTGTTATATTACCACAGCAGCTATAGGATTACCACAACAAACTAATTCAAGTACTTTACTATAGTATGGTTCAAAAACACTATAGTATTATTATAAATTACTATAGTATTTTTTCATGTGGGCTGACTGGGTTTACAGGTTTTATTGTTGTAATATTCTCCTCAGATGACCAGATCACGTAAAACCATAAAAACAATAAATTTAATGTGACTTTATAAAATGAAATTGTATTTTAACTCTACACCTAAAAACAGATGTATGTCAGGATGCTTTATTTTATACAACCATGAACATCCATGTCAGATTAGTGGCTGTTGGACTGAGTGTAAACCTAAGTTGGGTGTGTGTGTGTCGCCACACCCACTCCACTCTAATGTAAACCACACCCACTCCTACTTTCATATTTAAGCCACACCCACTGCCCCTCCTGCTCCGCCCCCTGTATAAATAATCTGAGCTCAGTGACACGCACACAGTGCTCTGATCTGAGATGTGTGTTTGCTGCTGCTGAAGGTCTGTTGTGTGTTTGAGAGTGTGATTGTTGGGTGATTGATGGCTGTTGCAGACGCAGGATGCGCAGGAGCAGCGCTTACATCCCAGTGTCCACTGCTGCTGCTCTGCTGGTCACTTCATCCACGCTGTTCTTTGTCTTCACGTAAGTCACAGCTGACCTTCATTCACTTTAATTCAGTGTTCCTTGCTTTAACTTTTACAGACACCTGAATTCTTTCATGACACTGTGTAATAACTTTACTTGAAGCCTTGATATATAATGCATTATAAAAGTATTTAATGCATTAATTATGCCTTGTAATGCACCTTATAATGCATTGCATGATTGCATGAATAATGTATTCACTTTTTCACCTTTAGAAAGTATAATGCATTAAAGCATGTAAGAAACAAACAATTTTAGATGAAACAAAGAATCTGCAAATATTATAATGCATTTTAGCTTTGGTAACAATTGTTTATGAAAAGATACAAAGCGACAGAAATTTGTTGTAGAAACTATTTTCACACAGAAATTGCTTGTAAATTTCAGAAAACAATTACAAAGAAATGGCAAGTAACATTGAATTAAACATGACTTTTTTAACATTTTAATTTAAAGTAGAAAAACTGAATAAATATATTCTTGTAAAACGCCAATAGTTTTTTTGCAACCTTTATATACAATGCATTATAATGTTTTTTTAATGCATTAATTATGCCTTGTAATGCAATACATTGTAAGATCTCACAAATAATTCCATACTATATTCTAAAAACGTATAGAAAGTATAATGCATTAAAACACATGACAAACAACCAGTTTTAGATGCAGCACGAGGTCTGCAAGTATTATAATGCATTTTAACTTCGGTTACAATTATTTATGAAAAGATATAATGCATTGCAATGTACGTTATGAATAACTACGTTATAATGCATAAACTTTTCTAACTTTATTTTGCGTTAAGATTAATTTACTACGTGTGTAAAAATACATTCATACTGTAAATACTTTTTGAGTTTATTGTAGGTCAACTCACAACATCTTCAAGCGTTTCTGTCCTAGAATATACAGTAGTGTATAATATTAATCATGTTTTTCAGCTTTTTTACACGCTCATTCATATCGATTGAAGATTTAGTCAGTTTTCATCATTTCAGTTTTGTCCAGTACACTGTAAAAAAAAATCCGTAAAATTTACGGCAAAAAAACGGCAGCTGTGGTTGCCGGAATTTTACCGTAAAAAATACGGTAGCAACGTTTTAGGTTTTACGGTTGTAAATTTATGTCCAATACATGTAATGTCCAATACAGTTTTTCACCGTATATAGTTGGGGAATTTACCGTTAACCATTTAACAGGTTTTTACTGTAGCATTTTTACAGTCTTTTACCGTTAAATTCACGGTAATTTTTTACAGTGTAGTGAATATAAGCTGCTGCACAGTCACAAACTATTCTTGAATAGAGTATTTTACGTTTTACGATTTTAATCCAGTGCTGGAAGTAGGCCAGTGAGCCGCTGCAAACAACTGCTCATGCGCTGATATCTTTCCTTTATTATTCTTCCACTGCATTCTGAACGTTTGCATTGATTCTCTCCTGAGATGTAAAAGCGTGCATGCTTCTTGTGCTTTATTTGTGTGTATGCATCGGTATGTATTAAGCAAACTCTGACAATGAATGACTTTATTGCAGAATAAGCACTGATGTCCTGTAGTGTAAAAGGACACAACTTTTTTTTTTTCCGTTCGTTTCAAAATGACTATAGTGAAAAACAGGTTTTTAGGATTTTATTTTTCACTTCATTTAAACTCAGACATTGTCACAAATCATTGCAAAGAATTAACACGTTAAAATTTTGAAGTAGAAAGACTGAAACAACATTCTCCCAGGGTTATTATAGTTAACTACAAATTACCCAAAATTTTTTTTTTTTAAAAACTACAAAACCAACTAAAAAACATTTTAGTTATTAGAAATAAAGTAAACATTAACTGATATGAAATATTAAAAAACTTATTTTATTTTAGGTAGTTGCCAAGGCAACATTTCTGATTTCGGTTTGATTTAACTTGAAGTACTAAACTAAAAATAAAACTGAAATAGAAATGAATAATAATAAATAATATACATATATAGGCAAAGCTACTAAAACTTCAAGAAAAATTATGAAAATTAAAAAAAACTAATTCAAGTATTAATAAGTATTAGAATTATATACTAAAATAACACCGTGTGCTCCAATAATCTTTGTTTTATTTACAGCTTTATATTTTATAAATATAGTTTTTACAGTCTATAAATATTTTCAAACATGCACTGCCAAAACTTTTAAACATTTAAAACTTTTTCACTACTTGTAATAAAATAAACATGAACTGAAATAAAATACAATGTAAACATCTTTTTTTTCAAATAGTTGCCATGGCAACATTTCTCTTTTTAATTTAGTTTAACTGGATCTACTAAAAAAACTCAAACTCAAACTGAAATAAACTAAAAGACATAAACTACTAACAAAAACACAGCAGCATTTCTAAAACTTTAACCAAAATAACATGAAACAAATGTATCGTTGTTTTGAAATATTAGTAAAAACTATAATAGTACCTCAGTGATACTAGAATAACACTGGTTTGGACACATTGGTATTAAACATTCTACACTGAAAAAAATGAATCATTTGAATTTACTACATTTTTATTTTAGCTACATTTAAATACATTTAGCTGAAAGTTAGTCGACTAAATTTGTTTATTTAAATGTAGCAAATATAAATTGATTGCAACCACTTACCTGAAAAAAAAAATTTGTATAATTTTTTTCAGCGTAGATCTTACAGCTTCTGCTTAAATACTTTTTTCTGTGTTTCAAATATTTATTCTGCCTAAATATGAATTTCATTCTAAAACTATTTCTGAATGTCTGAGTTGAAGTGAATAGTAAAGCAGAAGCTCGTCGCGTGTGTTTAAAAGCATCCCATGATGCACCTGATGATCAGAGCTGAAAAAGCAATCAGTCTGATTGTTTTCATCAGCATTTCTGTCAAAAATCAGAGACATCAGCCGTAATCCTCTCATAAATCTTAAAGAGAAAAGCCTTTGTCCTCCATACAAATCATTTGTTCATGACCCATATCCAGATGAACTCATTTCCCCTGAGCTTCATTTTAGAAAAAGAAAATATATTTTGCATAAAGAAAATTAAGCCTATTTTGAGAATGTTTCACTGATTTAACAAGTTACTGTGACTTTATATTATTTCCCCGTATTGCTGCAGTGCCTACATGTTTTACCTTTTTAAATAAATTTGTTTTAGTAATGAGAATCTATTTTTTGTGTTAAATTTAAATAATTTTTACTGTATCGCAGTTATGCAATTTTTCCATTATAATTTAAATTAGCATAAATAAAGGGCATCAACCAATATTATAATGATGTATAGTACTTTACAATTAAAATAATATGTTATTTTTTAATATATGGTTAAATGTAATTTATCTCACAATTCTGACTTTTTTCCTCACATTTCTGAGTTTGTGTCTCACAGTTTGTAATTTTTGTCCTTGCAATTCTGACAAAAATATCAGAATTGTGAGATATAAACGTTTTTTTACATGATGGAAACTGAAAACAGAATTATGAGATGTAAAGTCAGAATTCAGATTGAAGATATAAACTATAGAATTCATAGGAAAAAAGTTAAAATTGAAATTGTACGAAAAAAATCGCAGAATTATTTTTGTCACAGAATAAAAATGAATAAACAAAATAAGAACTGCAACTTTTTATCTTTGAGCTATTTTTCAATTGCAAATTTATGTAACAGTTCTGACTTTTTTCCCCTCAGAACTGTAAGTTTACTTCTCACAATTCTTTTTTTTTTTTAATTAAAAAAGAAATTTTGCCTTTGTTTCACAATTCTGCCTTTTTTTTCTTCTTCTCACAATTGTGAGTTTACATTGCACAATTTGGACTACTTTGGAAACCAAAATACAGAATTTAGAGATTTTAGAGACTCAACAACAACAACTCAGAATTGCGAGATAAAAACGTGCAATTACCTTTTTATATCAAATGTGCTTAACTGTCATGAAAATAATAATAAAACAAAACAAAATCATAATGGTCTACATTTTGCACTGCATTTTTGGAGTTAAATATGAGTGGGACGTGTTTTTGACAGACTGGCAGACTGATTAATCTCACGCTCCGGATGCAATCATCCCGCTTCACTTTTCCTTTTTTTGACTGATCCACGCTTTCATTTTTTGGCTTTGTGAAGCTGGTGGTCCTCAGGGCCGACGAGCCTCTCAGATGTTAGACACGGAGCTTCAGAAAGGCAAAAGACGTTTGATTCGACTCCACTGAAAGCTTTGCTTGTGAATTATTCATCCTGAACTACATTTGATCTAAACGATGGAGCGATGAAAGCAGATTTGAATTGATTATTGGTGCATTGATATGAAGTCAACATTATTTCATGTCATTGTTCTTAAACAAAGAAATGAGTTCTTAAAGTCAACATTTGCAACCTGTTTTATTTGCATAATGTGGGAAAAAAGCAATTTGTAAATGCAATGAAAAGTGAAACTTGATTTATCAGGAATTGACTGAGCATGAATTAACCCTGTAATGCCTGACACATGAAATAATAGTAAAACAAATTATGTATATACGTATATATGTATACGTTACTGAGCCATTAGACAAAATCTAAAAGTTTGTATGTTGAGTATCAAATTTGCTCCATCAGGCTTTTATGGCTCACTAAAAGAGCTTTTCCTGTATAAAACACTCTAGACTATCAACCAGAGACAGAAGGCATGGAGGAGATGGAAAGTTCTGATCATTTGGAGATCTTTAATGTTTCTGTATCTCTCTCAGGTGTTCGTGGCTCGCGCTGAACGTGTCTCCTGTTTTCCCGCCATACGTCGGGATCGTCTTCCTCTTCGTTATGGCGAACTTCATCATGGGGACGTTCATGGATGCCGGCGTGTTCCCGAGGGCTCAGTGGAGTCAAACACACGGTTGCACCAGCTGGACGTAAAATGCGCTTTAAGTCGTGCGTAGAATTTATACCCTTTGCACCATCTCGGCGTAGTGCTATGTCTTGAGACTAAATCTTACGCCTAGTCAGAGGTAGGTGTAAAGTGAAAGGTAATTTGCTCGGACTAGGGATGTAACGATTAACCGCAAGCCGGTTGAAAATCGATTCAAATATGTGACGATTCAAATCGGTTGAGATGCTAAACAAATCGCGATTCATTTATCCAAGCAATAATAAAAGGACACATTTAATTTATAATTTGTCTTAAATCTCATTTTGTCGAATCGTGAGTTGAGTGAATCGTTACATCTCGTTACATTATTAGTTTTTAGGATTCATGTCTGTTAGTTCATTATTATAGTTGCAAAGTTACTTACTGTTAATAGAATGTCTAAAGTGGACTATCGAAATAAAGTGTTACCATTATTACTAATATTTATGGTCTTTTCGGGCAGGATAAGCGATATCGCGAAGCTCGGTGTAGACTTACACACACACACATATATATATATATTTTAGGGGTGTAACGGTACACAAATATGACAGTTCGGTACGTACCTCGGTTTTAACGT